TATTGAAATGTTAAGGTTTAGATTGGTTGGTTCGCTCACATAGGAGGGTAAGTGTGGGTGCCAGTCGCGGCCAGGATTTGGGTCGTGACAGTTTAAGATTGCAAATTAAAAACCTTTTGATACAGTTACATATTTTTAGTGTAAAATCACAAGATTAATTATTTTTTTTACATTTTAAAATTCCATGTAAAATCAACATCAATCAATCAAACAAATTAAACTAACACACTTTTTCTTTTTGATTCATTTCAAATGAAATGACACACGTATCATTTTATATGTTAAAAATATACGCTTACAAAATTAGAGACAATAATTACACACTTTTTATTTTACCGTTTATTAAAAGCTTATAACCAATATTTTGTTTTGACATGTTCATTAGAAGCAATAACTATAATTATAAGTTTACTGTTCCCTCCGTCTATTATTATTTGTCAAGTATATTAAAAATAATTGTCTAAAATTAATTATCAATTTGAATAATCAATAAATTGTTACTTTTTTTTTTCAGTTCTTCCCTTAATAATTATATTATTATTGGCCTTTTTTTATAAATTCTACCCTTAATAGTTACATAATTATTGGTCTGACAATTTTTTCAATTATGCCTTTAATAATTACATAATCATTGGTTTCAAAAAATAGTCATTTTAAAGTAACAAAACTACTTTAATGTGAAAAAAGATATTTTACAGTTTTAAAAAAGTACAAACCATTTTAATAATAATTGATAGTAGAGTTATACTAGTCAAAGTGCACCTTGTATTAATTTTTTTTAAAGAATTGTGCAATATCTTATTCTGACAAACAATAGTGGATGGAGGGAGTATATCACTCCTTATTATTTACTCTCTTTCTTCCGTATTTTAAAAATAGATTTTTACTTTTATTTTTCATTACTTTTAACATATCAAGAAATTAAAAAAAAACAAGAAAACATGTTTACCTTAAGCATTATTGTTTTAGACCACAACTATCAAATGCCTCCTCCTCCCCTCCCCCCCACCCCCAAATATTATACCAAGTCAAAGCTATCACAAATGGACATAGTACAAAACGGGTTAGTGTGGTAAAATAGATATGTGAAATGTCAATTGCTATTTTTTAAATTGGTGTGTCAAGTCCTAATAGGACAATTAAAAGTAAAAAAAAAGGAGTATAAGTCATCTAATTATTGAATAATATAACATATGTATATAAAATAAAAAATTATCTTTTAATTTTTTAAATTAAACTAGTAAATACGAAAAATTATTTTTAATATAATGATAAAAATGGATGAAAGGAGTATGAAATTTAGTGTTAATTCAAACGGTATTATTTAGCTGACAGTTACTAGATCAACCCCATCAAAATAATTAATGAATTGAAACTGAGTAAAGAGAAACAAGAATTAATTAATCAATTAAAATTAATTAATGTTATAGTATAGTTTATTAGGGACAAGAATTTTAATTGAGTGACCAAAGTTCAAATAAAATTTGTAAATCCACCGACTGCATTATTAATCACCTGAAAAAACCACTTGATACACACACAAAAACATTAATTTTCACATTTTGAAAAATGCATATTTTGACCTGCTTCATTGTTTGCCTTTAATTTATTAATTATTCTATTAATGTTAGTCTTGAATTTATTATTACCTATTTTTTTCTCTCTCCGATCTTATTGAACAATATTTATTATGTTGTAAATTCATTGTATAGTATAGGTGGATTATTCATTAGATTTATTCGTTATTAAATGGATTCATGTATAGGTGCTTCCAAGGTGATAAGAACTTCCAAGATAACTATGTATCTATTAATTAGATGACTTTTGGAGTGATTTCTCAACACTATAAATAAAGGATCACTCACCATTTGAAAGAGACACTTGAATAAGAAAATTTCTCTCTTCTATCTTATACTTCTTGTCTTCTTCTTACTATTATAATATTCTGAGTTTTCTTTATAATACGTTATGAACACGAAGTTGCTACTTGCAAAGATATTATATAAATATTTTTATTTAATTCACATGTTCTCTCATAATCTCATTATGTCGAATTTATCCAAACTTGAGTTTGTGGCATTAGATATTTCTGGAAAGAATTATCTTTCATGGGTACTCGATGCTGAGATTCACTTAGCTGCAAAAAGTCTTGATCACATTATTACTCAGGGAAATGAAGCATCGAGCCAAGATAAGTCGAAGACTATGATTTTTCTTCGCCATCATCTTGATGAGGGCCTGAAGATTGAATATCTGACGGTAAAAGATCCACTTGAATTGTGGACTGATTTAAAGGGGAGATATGACCACCTAAAGGCAATAGTGTTGCCAAGAGCTCGTTATGAGTGAATACATTTACGATTTCAAGATTATAAGATAGTAATTGAATACAACTCTATTGTATTCAGGATAACCTCCCATTGAAATTATGTAGGGAGACTATAAAAGATGAGGACATGTTGGAAAAGACACTACTTTCCATGCCTCAAATGTGATATTGCAGCAACAATATCGTGAAAAGGGTTTTCAGAAATATTATGATTTAATCTCATGTCTTTTGGTGGCTGAGCAACATAATGTTCTTTTAATGAAAAATCATGAAGCTCGTCCTACTGGAGCTGCTCCATTATTGGAGGCATATGTGGTGGAAGCACGTGATCAATTTGAAGTAAAAAGAGATGATCATCGGGGCTATAATAATGCACAGGGACGTGGCAAAGATAAGAGGCGATACACCAATCGTCGAGATGGTGGTCATAATAAAAGGGAGAACAACATGAGTTCTCAAAATAACCCCTCAAAAAGTAATTGTCTTTATTATGGCATGAAGGCCCATTGGAAGAATGAATGTCGCACACATGAGCATTTTGTTAAGCTGTACCAAAATTCCTTTAAAAGGAAAGAAAATAAAAGTGGTGCTTCCTCTTCCAATGCTCGAGCTGAGTCACATATGACTCTTAAAGATGATGATAAGCCTGGAACATCTCAGAAATATCATAAAGATATTGAAGCAAATTTAGGTTCAAAGGATGATGTTTTTGATGGCCGTGGTGACATTACTCATATGAAAGTTGATTACTTCTTTGGAGATCGAAAATGATGTTTGATCTTTTAGCTGGGGAATGAAGTCTGTTAATATTTTACTTATTTGCTTTTTAGTTATCATATTCTTCATGTTAAAGTGTTTAAATTTCCATTGTTAGTTATTTCGTACTTCTTGTAATGTATTTTTTTGTTTTAATGAAAAATAATAGAAATCCCTAGTTGTCAGTTGGATTCAAGATGAGTAATGGAGATGTATGCCTTCTTGATAGTGCTACAACACATACAATATTAAAAGAAAAGAAATACTTTTCTAATTTGGTTATGAAAATGACATATGTCAACACAATATCAGGTAGTACAAAATTGATTGAGGGCTCTGGAAGAGCGACCTTATTACTACCAGGAGGGACAATATTGGACATTGATAATACATTATATTGTAGTAAGTATTAAGTTTCAAAGTATTCGCCAAAATGGTTATCACGTTGAGACGAATAATGAAGAAAAGGTTGGATACCTTTACATTACTACAATTAATGTAGAGAAGAAAATTATGCATGAAAAATTACCTGCATTTTCTTCTGGGTTGTACTATACAAGTACAAGTACAGTTGAATCACTTGCCGTAGTAAACAAAAGGTTTACTAATTTTAATGATTTTATCATTAGGCATGACCGGTTGGGCCATCCCGAATTTAATATGATGCACAAAATCATTGAGAATTCACATGGGCACACCTTAAAGAGTCCAAATACCCTTCAATCAAAGGAATTCTCTTATGCTGCTTGTTCTCTAGGAAAATTGATCATTAAACCATCAATTGTTAAGGTTGGAATTGAATCCCTTTCGTTTCTGGAACGTATACAGGGTGATATATGTTGATCAATTCCACCTGCATGTGGACCCTTTAAACATTATATGGTCTTGATAGATGTTTCTACAAGATGGTCACATGTGTGTTTATTATCAACTCACAACATGACTTTTGCGAGATTGTTGGCTTAAATAATGAGATTGAAAGCACAATTTCCTAACTATACAATACAGACAATCCGTCTAGATAATGCTGGTGAATTTACATCTCAGACATTTAATGATTATTGTATATCTACTGGTGTAATAGTTGAACATCCAGTTGCACATGTTCACACTCAATACGGTCTAGCAGAATCATTGATTAAATGTCTGCAATTGATAGATAGACCATTACTAATGCGAAAAAAGTTATTTGTGTCTATGTGGGGGCATGCTATTTTTGCATGCAGCAACACTTGTGCGTATAAGGTCGACCAATTATCATGAATTCTCCCCATTACAATTGACTTTTGGTCAAGAGCCAAACATTTCCCATCTTAGAATTTTTCGATGTGCGGCGTATGTCCCAATTTCTCCACCACAACGCACAAAGATGGGGCCTCAAAAAAGGTTGGGGATATATGTTGGGTGTGAATCTCCTTCAATCATAAAATATTCGGAGCCTATGACTTGATATTTATTCAAGACAAGATTTGCTGATTGTCATTTTGATGAATTAGTATACCCAACATTAAGGGGAGAACATAAGCAGTTGGGAAAAGAGATAGGATTGAAATTTATCATCTTTATCTCATCTAGATCCTCGAACAAATCAATGTGACCAAGAAGTTCAAAGAATAATTTATTTACAAAATATTGCGAATCAGCTACCAGATGCTTCTACTAATCTTTCAAGGATTACTAAATTGCATATTCCAGCTGCTAAGGCTCTAGATCGAGTTGATTTCCTGGCGGAACAAATAGTTAAAGCAAATGAGTCTTGACCACATTAGAAACGTGGTAGACCAATTGGTTCCAAGGATAAAAATCCTCAAAAAAGAAGGAATAAATGATCAAGATGATCATGGGTTGAAAGAAATTTCTCAATATGAGACCCAAGTCATAACACATGATGAAATATCCGAGGAGGTTAAAACTTTTGAGAACAATGAAATTTCAATGAATTATGTCTCGACGTGAAAGTTGTGGAACCGAATTAATGTTGTGATTGACAGCATATTTGCATATAATGTTGCTATTGGCATAAAACAACAAGATGAATATTTAGAATCAAAATCTGTTCACGAATATAGATAGAGAAATGATTGGCCAAAATGGAAGGCTGTAATTCAAGCAGAATTGACTTCACTAGAAAACCGTGAAGTTCTTGGACCAATAATCCGAACAATTGAAGGTATCAAGCCAGTGGGATACAAATGTATTTTTGTACGAAAAAGAAATGAGAAAAGTGAAATCGTGAGATATAAAGCCCGACATGTTTCTCAAGGTTTTTCTCAAAGACCTGACATTGATTATATGGAGACATATTCTCCTGTAGTAGATGTAATCACCTTCAGATTTTTCAAAAATCTGGCAGTTCATTAGAAACTTAAAATGCGTCTAATGGACGTTGTCACAACCTATCTATATGTTTCATTGGGCCACGATATTTTCATAAAAATTCCTGAAGCATTCAAAATATCTGAAGCATACAAAGATTCAAGAGAAACTTGTTCAATGAAGCTTCAGAAATCATTGTATGGATTTAAACAATCAGGGAGGATGTGGTACAATCGTCTGAGTGAATATTTATTAACGGACGGGTACAAAAATGATTTGATTTGTCCCTGCATTTCTATTAAACGCTCAAAATCTAAATTTGTTAGATAGATGTGTATGTTGATGTTTAAACATCATTGGCACTCATAAAGAGATTTTAAAAGATGTTGAATGTCTGAAAAGAGAATTTAAAATGAAAGATCTCGGCAAGACTAAATTTTTTCTTGGCCTACAGATTGAGAATTAGTCAAATGGAATACTTCTTCATCAATCAACTTACACAGAAAAGATATTAAAGCATTTTTACATGGATAACTCAGATCCATTGAGTACTCCAATGGTGGTAAGATCACTTAACATCAATACAGATCCATTTCGACCTCAAGAGAAGGATGAAGAGCTTCTTGGTGATGAAACTCCTTACCTTAGTGCAGTCGGGGCACTAATGTACCTTGCTAACAATACTCGACCAGATATCTGTTTTGCAGTAAATCTACTGGCAAGATTCAGTTTCTCCCCATCAAGAAGACATTGGAATGGTGTTAAACACGTATTAAGGAATTGAAGGTGTATTTGAAAGACCTTCTAGATAAGGGTTTCATCAGGCCTAGTATTTCACCATGGAGTGCACCTGTGTTATTCGTAAAAAGGAAAAATAGTTCTCTCAGAATGTGCATTGACTATAGACAGTTGAACAAGGTCACAATCAAGAATAAGTATCCTAACCCCAGGATTGATGACTTGTGCGACCAACTTCAGGGTGCTATCGATTTCTCAAAGATATACATCAGATTGGGTTATCATCGGCTCAGAGTTAGAGATAGTGACATTCTGAAAACAACCTTTAGAACACGATATGGTGATTATGAATTTGTAGTTATGTCATTTGGACTAAACAATGCTCATGCAACTTTTATGGATTTGATGAACATAGTGTTCAAACAGTACTTAGAGTTGTTCGTTATTGTCTTTTTTTTATGATATCCTCATATACTTTAGGAATGAGGAAGACCATGCAAGTCATTTGAGATTTGTTAAACAGACTCTCAAAGATCATCAGTTATTCGCTAAGTTTAGAAAATGTGAATTCTGATTGCAATCAGTTGCTTTTCTTGGTCACATTTTATGAGAGAATTCGAGTGGATTTGCAGAAGATAGAACTAGTGAAACAATGGCCCAGACGTACCTCTGCTATAGATATCAAAAGTTTCTTAGGTATAGCGGGTTATTATAGAAGGTTCGTGAAAATATTTTCATCCATAGCCAGTTATTATAGAAGGTTCGTGAAAATATTTTCATCCATAGCCTCACTATGACTAGGTTGACTCAGAAGATGGTCGAGTTTCAATGGTCAGATGATTGTGTGAAAAGCTTTGTATAATTGAAAACTAGATTGACTACAGCTCCTGTCTTGACTCTACCAGAGGGTTCAGATTGTTATGTGATCTATTGCGATGCATCCAGAGTTGTCCTTGGTTGTGTGTTGATGCAACGAGATAAGGTTATAGATTATGATTCTAGACAACTTAAGGTGCATAAGAAAAACTATCCAACTCATGACCTCGAGCTTGCAGCAGTGGTGTTTTCACTTAAGATCTAGAGACACTACTTGTTTGATGTTCATATAGATGTATTCATTGACCATAAGAGTCTTCAGTATGTGTTCACCCGGAAGGAGTTGAATCTTCTCCAGATAAGATGGCTTGAGTTCCTCAAGGATTATGATATGAGTGCGCATGACCATTTTGGTAAGGCGAATGTATTAGCAAATGCTCTTAGTAGATTATCTATAGGTAGTGTAGCCCATGTTGAGGAAGAAAGGAAGAAGCTAGTGAAGGATGCTCATAGTATTGCTCGCTTGGAAGTTCGCCTTATGAGCATATCAGACAGTGGCGTACCAGTTCAGAATGGGGAAAAATCTTCTTTTCTAGTGGAGATTAAGGAAAAGAAAGACAGTGATCCAATCTTGCTTGAAATTAAGGGTGAAATCCATAATCAAAGAGAGGAGGTTTTCTCCCAAGGGGTAGATGGTGTACTTCTCTACTACACATAGATTGTGTTTTCGTAATGTGGGCAAGTTGAGACATCATATTATTGCAGAATTCCATAACCCCAGATATTCTATTCATCCATGTACCACGATCTGCGGAAAGTCTATTGGTGGAATGACATGAAGAGAGATATAGCAGATTCTGTGAGTAAGTGCTCCAATTGACAGCAGGGTTAGCTTGAAATAACTTGTGGTCGATGTAGATCGGGGCATGAAACAAAGCACATGTAATCTTTTAAATTGCAAGAAAAAGAACTGTAGGACATTAAAAAAAATTGTGGTTAAAAGAAATGAGAGAAAGTATTTTTAATGTGTTATAGAAATGGTCATAACCTTTAAGAAGTCAAAACCTTTTGAAAAAGTCACAACTTATTTAAAAATGAAAACTCACAACTTATTGAATAAGTTACAACTCCTTGGAAAGGCACAA